AAATTGTCAAATAGCTATGAACATCATTAACCAAGCCAAAATGTAAACAACAATATTGATTGCCAATATTTTGAGCTTCTAGATGAATAAAAGGTAAAAATTGAAACTTGATAAAAGTAACAATACATTCATGAACCCTTTCCGCATGTTATCTCCTCTGATATAAGTATGATTCCACCAAAGTAAATCCTTGTAATTCAGCAGTATCATTACTATCGTGTTTTCAAGTCTCAACTATGTTGATGATGTCTATCATCTTCAAAATCATACCATTTTCATTACCATCAAAATGGTAATTGCCATATATCAATAAGATCCTTCAACCATACTGAGACGTAGCCCATGATACTGTATACCGACATCTTGAGCTCCTAGATGTAAAAGAGGTAGAAGATGAGAACTAATGAAAGTAGCAATACCTCCTTGACTCCTTCCTGCATGTTGTCTTCTCTGGTTTCATGTCGACCCCATCAATGTTAATCCTTCAAACTCAGCAATAGTATTGCTTTCATGTTCCCAAGTCTCCACAATGTTGATGACGTCAGCCATCTTCCAAAGGAACAGCATTCACATACTTTGTTTGACATCTTGATTTTCTATTTCAGGTAAACTTGAAATTCTTACATTCTTCCTACAAGCGAGCTAATTGAACTTATCAATTTCTTGTTCTTGACAAAAAGAGATTTGAGCAGCCTTTGTAGCTTCGGCCTAGGATTTCATTTTCAAATCTAAGTTTTTGATCACCTCATGCAATCTAGGACTATCCGCATTTTAAGAGCATACCTTCTCTTCGATGTCATCAATAAATTTAGACATGTAACACATCACTAACACAGTGTCCTTAACTACCTTCTTCACACCCTTTTGTGATACCTTTAACTCTCAAATTTGATTATGTGCAAGAGTTAAAGCAGCTACTTGCATCTTGAATTCATGTCAAAGTTTCTTCAATTTTTCAAAGATTGTTTGCAGAAGCTGAAAAATATTGTCTTGAGTAACCATCTTGTATGATTCACAAAAAAATCACATTCTCGAAACCAAATTGCAACCTCCAAATCTGAGAACTTGTTCAAACCACCTCCGTTGGGTCTCAAAATTTACACGTAGTTGCGTCTAGCCAACTCAAATCTCTCTCCAAAATTTCAGCTTGGATTTCAATTCCAGCGGGAAGGAATTGTTACCGCAAGATCTATTCACCACGACCTGAAACTCCAAGCTCCGAAGCTGAGAACTCGTTTACAACATCTCTTTTGGATTTCAAAATTTACAAGTAGTTGCGTCCGGCCAACTCAAATTTCCTTGCAAAATATCAGCTCAAGTTCCAACTTCAGCGCGAAGTAATTGCTGTTGCAAAATCTACTCACCACAACCTTAAACTCCAAGCTCCAAAACTGAAAACTCGTTCACATCATCTCTGTTGGATCTCAAAATTTACAAGTAGTTACGTCCAGCTAACTTAAATATACCTGCAAAATTTCAGCTTGAGTTCCAACTCCAGCGCGAAGGATTTGCTACCGCAAGATCTACTCATCACACCCTGAAACTCTTAACTCTGAACTCTAAAGGGACGAAACAAAAGCCGAACTTGGTTGGAGACAGATTGGCCATCTTTAGTTCCATTTCCATTACCATAACAAATCGAAACAACACTTACATACTATGTTGATGAAAGTACTCAAATATTTCACATCATGAGAAATTCATCTACCTAGTTTTCTGGGTTACTAGGTAGATGAATTTCTTCTCTTCTGAGTAAAAATTATCTACTATCATGCAAATAAGCAACAAAACTGTTCACTTAAGTTCTTTTCTCTCAGTTTTCACTTGTGGTGGAGTAAGATCAAGATTCATTCATTTTTTTGTTTTGCCATGGCCATCAAGAAATCTTGATGGCCATGGATGTATCCTGTTGAGTTTGATCAACAAACTTAACAAGAATAGCCTGAGGTTATGTATCAATTTTTCCGATATGAAAAGCTCCAGCTAACTCTATATTGTGAACATGTGTAACTAATAACTTGATGACAACACCTTTCACATCTTTGTTTTTTGTTTATGGTAATCTGATATTCTAATATTCTTTTTACGGACATATTGATTAGCAGTTTTTATCTCTTACTCTTGACAAAGACTGCAGGTGGCTCACATCTAGTTTAAGAGATGTGAGCCACCTTTGTAATCTCTGCATACGACTTAAGTTTTGACTCTAAAGTGCCTATCACCTAATGTAATCTTAGACTACTGGAAATTGTCATTAGTGACGTTGTCTTTGTCTGAACATCTTCGACAATTGCGGATGTTTGAAGCATCACAATAGGATTTTCTTGCATACTTTTTTCTCATAACTTCTTGTAAGCTTTTCAACTCTTAAATCTAAGTATATGCAAGAGTAAGCATAGTAGTTTATACCTTGAAATCTTGTTGAAGTTCATCCAAATCTTTCAAAATTGTTTGAACAAGTTTGAGGATTATCCTCTAAGAGACCATTCTATACTCACTGTCAAACTTTGAAGTTATCACTTTTTTTTTGGAAGTTTTCTGCTGATTGTGCATTGTCTATAGAACTTAAGATCTAATTCAGATCTATATATAAGCTTTTCACACGTTCGGATAGGAGGGTCAAATAGCGATCATTACTTACCACTAGATCACCACGATTAGTATTAATAATTTGACATGCCATATTTTTTGAAAGTTTAACCCTAGACTTATATAGTTTCTCTATTGCATGAAAATTTACCTCCACACAACAATAACAACCCTAGTATTGTGTGTCTTCGTATAGGTATTTTCAAATTCATCGATTCCTTTCAACTTCATCAAAAGTACAGATCTTTGTATCAAATCATCAAACCATGCTTGGTACTCCCGTAAGATCTCCTATTACTTCCTCTTGTGATGTTTGATTGTCTTGTAGATTTTTTCTCTTCCTTCTTCTTATGATGCTCGACTGACAATCCTGTGTCGAGCATTGCTTTCACTTTGTGACTTTGCCCTACATTCAAAGTTTTTTGAAATCATAGAACATTGTATCCAAAACATTTTCCATCATTGGAGCAACTGTACCAATATGTGCGTTTGTCGATGTGAAACACACGCAATAGATCGGAAGAATTACTTGCTTGTAGGTGTGCAAGGTCAAATCACTACTGGTCTTGCCATTTGTTTTATGTCTTCATTGATCTAAAGAAAGCTTTTGACATTGGCACTCGTAAGTTTTTATGAAAAAAGTGACAAGATGTTGGAGTACCGTCTAATCTTCTTAGAGCATTTGTCACAATATATAGTTTGGGCCAAAATCAACACTTCTCAACCTCAAGATATATTATGAATCATATGGATTATTCAAGGATGTTCTTTTTCTATACCTCATTTGAAAATTTTCATAGGTGATATGAGAAGGTGATTAGAGTAATATGAGAATGGAGGTGTCAAAGTTGGAGACTTTGTCATCATTATTGTATGCAGATGATATCATACTATTAGCACGTGATGTCATTAGTATATAAAAACACCTTGACACTTTGTCAAAATTTTGTATCAAAAATCAAATGAAGTTTTATTTAGAAAATTCAAAAGTTATTATAGTGTACACTAGACCCAAGTGTTTTTATAATACAAAGAACTAGAGTTGAATTAAACGAAGGATTACAAAAACTTAGACATAAATTTCTTCCATGATTATAGTTGGTCACATTGCGTGCAAAAGAGAATACAAGATTTTTATGAAGTTCTATATGTATTGTTAAATTGATATAGAAGAGCTCATATTGTGTCTTGAGATCTTAGAAATATTTTTATTTACGAGTTTAGTGTTGCCGCTGGTTTTATATGGAACCATGGTTGTAAGAAGACAATATTGGAACACTTGGAGAGGGTTCAAAAGATATTTCTACATATTCAGAAGTCATTGGAGGTGGAAAACCAAAATTCCTATGCCATTCTCCTTGCATAAACATGTTGTCTTTCAGCCTCAAGAGGCTGAATTTTTTTTATTTGATTATCACTTACATTGCACGGATGAGATCTATTGGTGCTTCTTGTGTTACTCACCAAGATTTGCAATCCACATGCTCTATAGGATGGTTCTCTATGTGGTGATGTGGAACAGACTTGCAACAGATGTCACTTCGCTAGCAAATCTACACTAGCAAATACTGAACATTGGTTGGAGCAAGGCCCCACACCAAAATAGAGTTTTATAGACTTAATGTTAACCCTATACTTGTATATTGTGAACAAGGATCCTGCCATTATGTCATATTATTGCGCCGCATAGAAAGGGTCTAATAGACCAGAGATTGAGTAAGGACGTTGTCATAATCTTGACAGAAGTGAAGGGAAAAGCGTGGGTGTTCAGACTTACTTTGAAATGATTTGCGTATCCTCCTCACGAAAGTTATCTACAAACGCAGCTGCAAGCTGAACGCTTAGTTTATCAAATCAATGCAACGCAGTACATTCTCAACAGTACCGCTGTCTCGTAGCCACAGCCCCGACAACTGGATGGAATTCATATATTTCCTCCGGGTTTGGGACACCGACACGTGTAATCTCTCCAATGACCTGAACTGGCCATGCCAACGAGGCTTTGTGACAGATCCCCAGTGGTTACCCGGTTTACATTCTGTAAATAAAGGATCTCGTCGAAGATACTTTTGTTTCCCCTTAAAGTAAGTGCCGTTACCCACAACCAGGTATAACTATTTTTTTCTCGATGACCGCGGCGGTCATTAGGACGAGGGCTAGGATCTGACGTGTCTCAGAGGTTTCAGGATAGAGTTAGACTCATTGCCCGAAGGAGTCTGGGTTTCACGAAGTCCGACTTGACCCACTCACTCACCGGATGGAAGTTTCAGAAATAGACTTATTTCCCAATAAAATTCAAATCACTTCTATTTTCATACAGAATGGATGCTATGCATCTTCCGTATTTGAAAAATAACACTAATAATTAATCCACCGAGATTAAAATTTATTTATCATTTAATCAGTCTTTGGCGGCAGTAGTCTTCATTTTTAAATAAAAAGATTTACTTGGATCAGGGTTACAATGAGTACTACAAAGTAAAGCCAGTACACGGCCAAAAAAATAATCCAGTAAGCAAGTACGATGTGCAGCTTTCGGGCGTAAATGTAGCGGGGGAAAGCAATTGACGATGTAGTACATATCAAAAGTACATGTGACTTGTTGGACCAGGCACGCGGCGAATCAAATTTGCGTTTTATAAGCGTAAAGTGATGTTACGCCTGCGATCTGATCCCTAATTGCCTTAATATTCGGATGGAGGGAGCCAGCCAGCCAGTCAGCCAGCCAGCGAGCCAGCCGTGACGAGGGGAGGGCACATTGCGCTGCCTTCGTAAGGAAACGACCGAGTCATCAGACGATCAGCCGAGTTGCATGTTCAGGCCATTACTGCAATCGAGAGAGTCCGATCCGAAGAGGCTAATCCAATCGGTTGCTTTTCTGACAGGTTCGTGAGCTCTCGAAAGATCTTCCCGATGTCCTTTTCACGTGCCCTCGGCTCGAACTTCTCAAATTCGCCTCGCCTCGCCTCCTCCCGCTTCGAAAGTATGCGGAAGTGACCGAGAAGGAAGACGATCTCGTTCCGATGACGATACGTCCGTCTCATGAGTGGGGTCGGGTCGGGTCCGCTCGGATTGGCGCCGGAAGTGGTCCAGGTTTTCAAATGCGCTTTTCACGTGTCCAGTTACGAGGTCCGAGACGATTTTTCTCGCCCATCGTTGCAAGAGGATTCCGACGAAACCCGGTGGGAGATTCTATGGATTCAACGGATTCATCAATTCGATTCGACGCAGGTCTGACGACGTCGTTGCACCCCGAGAGTTCCCAACCCCGAGCGTATGAGTGCCGCGGCAGTACTCTACGCCCGTTAGCCCCTACGCCGCGCATTCGCTCGCCACTTCTTCGAGCGCCTCAACGGCCGGGGGCTCGACGGGCGATCGCTCCCCCTCGCAAGACGAAAATGGCCATCATTGTGCCTCGCACGCTTGTCCTACTCGAGGCGCTTAAAGGCAGGAAAGTTGACTCGGCGAATCTTCATCCATGCCCTAGGGCACGGATGGGATTCTCCCGCCTCCCGGAGAGAGGAGAGAGAGGGATGAAGGAGAAGAAAACGACTCGGACGAGGGTGACTGATTCTATCCCCTCGAGTCCAATCAGGTCCGGAGGTAAGTAACGACGATCAGGACACTTGTGACGACGCTAATACGCGGAAGGACGTGTCCGGGTCGCTTCCTTTGCTGGAATCGATTTGTTTACTGCCTCCAAGTTGTTGGTTCCACCAGCCAATCATCCGTCCATTCGTCCATCCATCCATACCTCGCTCGCTCACTCATTCACTCACTCGTAAAACTCCTCCCTTCCCTCCCCATCCGGCCCACAGATACCCACACACAGCACCTTCACGCACCGATCACCTCATGCTGCTGACATCCACGACAAAGAGCAAGAATCGAGAGGGACGATCGGCTCGCCAATTGTCAACCTGCGTGGAAGGGGAGAATAAAAGGTGACGAGAAGATGAGGCCAGTGCTGAAACTCTCGGCGGGGTCCGAGCTGGTTCGTACCTCATGCCCACCAGGCGTGATGATTGTTGAAAGAGCACGCGAATCCTTCCAGCAGAACACCCCCTGGGGTCGGAATCAAAGTGCTCTTTTGAGTTAAAAGCATGCCACTAGAGTCACTAGACCAACCGCGACCGGATCGGCCTGGACTGGACTGGACTGGACTGGACTCCATGGAGTTCCGAGACTCGAAGCCTGCGGAGCATGCGACTCTTGTGACTGGCTCTTTCCACGACGACTTGAGTGCTGCTCAAGTTCAAGGCTCCTCTAGCTGGGCCTCGACTTCCAGAACAAATACTATATTCGAACACTTGTTCGGACATAAATACCTCTGGCCCAATGGAAGAATTAAATAATGTGAAATACAGCTGAAAAGCAGATTTGAGCGCATGGCAGGGCTGGAGGAGTTGTAAGCGGCAGCATTCGCAACCCGGCCCGGATATGGATGGGCCCCAGTTTCCAGATCCGTTCCAGGCTGCAGCCCAGCTCCACCCCGGCGCCGCTCGCACGAGAAAGATCGCCGAGTCTGCTCTCCGATGGAGAAAATGGCGAGGATCTCACGCAACAGGTCAAGGGGCCCCAGAGAGCGTTTTCTCAGGCCCCACAAACGGTAACAACGCGGGCTGGTTTCGCCGTACCGATCCGAGCTCGTCGGTCGGGCGTCACGGAGAGTTTAAAGTGACGAACGTCCATGAGCCCCTCGGGGCTCGGGCGCCAGCTCAGCTTCTGTACCGATCGTTGGAAAGCCTTCTGCGTGAGTGCAGGCCATCTACCTTCGCCTCGGACTCCGACTCACAACGGTGGCATGACTGCAGGAAGCCCCACAAATGATACTCGAGAAAGCTCGAATAAAGGCCGGGCGAACCCATCTCATTGGCGGCAGCTGCTCGAGGGACACTTCCAGTGGCGATTTTAAGTGTTCAAGAAGGGTAAAGATGCTCGAAAGTGATATTCCTTTGGTCTGTTGTTGGGTGGATACAGCTCAAGGAGGTCCAGTCTTGAGGACTTGTCAGACGTTCCCCCGCCCCCCGGCCCCCGCATAAGTAAAAGATATACATGAGTTGATAAAAAAACAGGTTCCTTCTGGTTCGTCAAATCCCAAAAGTGTGAAAATCCAGACCGATTTTGATAGGACCAGAAACACTTCTTAAAGCCACCGAGTCTAAATTTCTCCATATCGCCTAACGGTGGACAACTTCCTATTTAGATACAACCCGTAATGTCAGGATTTATAATTGTAGGCTGATCCCGTTCACTGTACATATGGCATTGCCGTATTAAGGAGCTGTACGAGCAATGCTCCACCCTTTTCTATGAGGGTTTAATTTTTTGGGTCGTATGATATCCGATCTTTGAATGAAGTCGACACTGATGCCCTAACATCCCCCGGTCGGGATCATTGAACACCGCATCCGAAAAATGATATACAAATGATACAGAGTTCGGAAGCCCAGAAATCTCAAGCATGACAAGCCAGTCTCAAACGATTTCTCCCATGTCCACCTTATTTTTAGAAATGTCTTCAGTAGCATGATGTTGGGCTGCTCCTACAAGAAGTTCCAATCTCTGCCATGCAACAAAGACAGCCATGCCAATTAGATTCGCGGCGAGGAACAACCACCAAAGTAGACTTACTACTACATGCTATTGTAGGGCTATCAACTTATGTTAGTGACCACGGATGAATAAACTCACTTTCACAGAAGCCTCAATCCCTTCCAGTCTTCGCAGAACTGCTCTGTCATGGATCAGGTTGTCATTCGGTTGGCCAGCCAAGGGTGAATAAGCCATCTGCGTCCCGTTCAGAAACAAAATTCTGAGTTAGAAACGAACACTTCAGCGAACGAGAAGTCAATGACCTACGTTATATCTCCATTATGTTTTCCTCGCTCTGTATGGTCCATTGTGAGCTGTTCGAGAGTAGGTTAACCAATGAACCTAGAACCGACCTGCCAAGAATTTAATCCCGCTATCCCTTGTCTCCAGGCCCAAGCTTGAGAGTTTGGCCCTCCGCTTTGAGAAGGTGGTGGAGGTGGAGTATCATACATATGCGATTCATCACTTCCACCACCCTTCACTCCATCCTCCCCTCCTAGGTGCTTTCGAATGTTGGAAGTCGCCATAAGCACGACCTGTCTTGAAGTCAGGTCCAATGGATTCAGTCGAAGAAGCGCAAGGTTTGAAGGCAGAAATCGTAGACTACTGGAGAGAACAATGACCACAATCCGCAGAAAACACGTCATCCCCGCGCACAGATTGTGTGTATTATTGACTCATGCACAATGTCTTAAGCCGAAAGAGAAGCGCAAGTCCACTAAGCAGAATTGCGCAACACGTACCTTTTTGAACAGTCTTGCATTGGCCATTCCTTGTATCCGTACATCATCACCCGGAGTTGGTCGATTCTGACCTGGTAAACCTTCAATTCGTATGGACGATACTCCATAATGAGACTGCAAGCAACCTGCTGCAGCGCACACGCAAATTATCTCAACTGAACATTCCTTGTTCGCGTTTAGCATGACCTGAAAGACGAAACAAGTGCTACGAGCAAAACATGATAATGGAGACGTGATTCCGCCCACATATCTCAATACAAAGCTCTACACTCCGGATCACATTTCGCTCGGACGCGTTTTGAACCTGGAAATGTTTGAGCGTTGTCATGTCATATGGAGCTGGTGCAGTTCAAACCATCACTGCGGTTCCTGACGTTCTACGATTGAGAGATGCATTATTTGCAGAATGAACTGCATACCTTGCTCAATTACGACATCTGTTACGAGATGTAACAGCACATGCTTCTCTCGTCTTGACACACCGAAACAGGGCAAAAACACCGGTCTCGTAACCTGCAAAACAATCGAGGCCACGTTCAAGCTGGATCATTACTCAATCTTGACATGCAAAAATATACTGGAGATGGTACTAAGCTAATTCCGACTTCCATCTGACTTCAAACTCCCACTTCGACTCTTGTGACTAGTATATTTCACAACTTCTTCTAAGCAAGAGCTAGAAGTTGAGTCACGTTACTAAATTATCTGTAACCTTCACAGTCAATCTACCAAGACTTCAGGGCATCAAATTCACAAGCAAATGACCACCATTAGCTGTACACGCCATGAAGATGTTATATAAACATCTGGAGCGGGTTGATGTACTCTTCAGTGGGCTGGGCTGCGGGAACGAAGAGCTTTCATAACTACAGTAGAGCAGTCATGGCCTGGGCGCTACTCAGGTATTCATCCAGGTTTTCCTTTCGTCTACAGCGGCTAAGATTAAGCATGAAAATCAGATTAGCATCCCAGTATTCCGTTCGTCAACAGCGGTCAAAGATTAAGCAATAAAATCATGTCTCAGGTTGTCTGTAACAACAACAGTCAATCTACCAGGACCTCAGTACATCAGATTACGCAAGTCAATGACCAGTATTGGCTCTAAACGCTATTGAAGATGTTCTACAATATCTGGGGGAGGTTGTTTTACTCTTAAGAAGGATGCGAGAACGCAGAGCTCGCATAACTGCAGTAGTGCAGTGATGGCCTGGGCGCTACTCAGGTATTCATCCAGGTTTTCCTTTCGTCTACAGCGGCTAAGATTAAGCATGAAAATCATGTTGCATTATAATTGTGAAGGCGAAGTTGAGGAAAAACGTTTCCAGGAATGTTTCCATTCTACCACACGAGAAATCTTGTCTTGCGCATCTAATATCCAGATACACAATCAGTTAAGAGCTTCATGCTTGAAAAGTACTGTACTTGGGTGTTCTTAAAGCACGGAGAAAGGTGTTGACCTTATAGACAATGGCATTCGTTGTCACATAGAGCTTTCGCGTCCGAATGTCCTGTCTCACAACATATCTTCTTATTGGCACGTAGAGAAGCATGAGCAGGCCTACTCCGTATACCAAAATTAATAATAGTGATATAAGAATCCACTGCACGGTGTCATAGTTGACATAGCTGTTCTCCATTTCTGCGAATGAAGCCCTGTATAAAACTCTACCTAGATCCCCTGCATCCTCGTCATCGGCTTGAGAAACAGGATCCGCGAGAAGCTGAGCTTCTAAGTAGTCACCCTCCGGGATTTCGTCTAAAGTAGCCATTTGGTCCACCTGACAGAACACAGTAGAACATGAGCTCGATCGAAAGCTCATCAAGATACTAAATGCTGACAAGACATTTCTGTGCGAAACATGAGTTTAACTGTATGTTTGCACCACATTACTGAAACATAATTGTCCTGTTTCTAACTAGAGAAGATCGAATTACTGCCTGCCTATCTCATTATTTACTGCAACTATACAGGCCAAAACAAGGATATAATGGGATGTACTGACACTCAAACGGCCTCCAATTGAGAAGCATTCGAATCAGAAGTGGCAACAAACCAGGATGCACAAAGAGGACACTCACAATCGAAATGCGGGCGTTGGAGTTTCGCCAAAAAATAGACAGACTAAACAGATTCAGTCATCTGCGCAGCACCTTGCTGTTGAGTTTGTAGCAGAAAAACCCGTAAACCTGGATATATTGCACAAGGTCAGCTGCACTGAATTTCTCCACGACGTCAATATTCTGTGTTGCGGTACGGTGGTATGGTAAAATTCTAGTATTAGCTACAAACGCCTAGACTCCATACTACATATACTTAGGTTTCGAAGCGTTACAGGAGCAAGAGAGTTCTGGGTGCACTGAAAGCAGTTAGTTCGCTTGCAAAATGCGAAACTGATTCGGCTGCATGGTTTCTTATATCATCGCTGTAAAGACAGCAAAGTCGTGTACTGGAGAGGGCATTGTCTACGGGCTGCAAATCACGACAGGAAGCGGAACTCAAGAGTCGCAAAGTCGTTCATTACCGTAGAGCATCAATTGATTTCCAGCAACGAAGGCTCCACATAGTTTTTATTTACTGCATCCACATTCAGATCCTGCACACATAGTTTCACATCAATCTCTATCTCAAGTCTACAAACGTCGAATCTCCTAAACAATCCCTCTGGCTCCCGAGAGCTAACTTTAAATATCACCTAACGCATCCAAAACTCGCATAAAAACAATTAAAATTTCGTTCTAGAGGCTAACAACTTGAGAAATTTCTTGAGGATATTATTCTGATTCATCGCTTTACACCTCCAAAAACTCCAAACTCGCCATTCATTGTGTCAGATGTAACGCGCTCCTTCGGAGAAGAGCGTTGAGACAGAATTCGAACGATCTAACGTGCACGCTGGGAAGCGACACAGAACAGCAGTACAATCACCGACGAGAATATTCCAAAAACTCACCAATCAATCCGCAATTCAAAAAACACGCTCTCAGGAAACTCCGGCGACAATCTCGTCAAAGCAACGTCTCCTTTTCTTTTCTTTTCGTTTGTTCGTTCCCTCCCTCTCCCACTCAAATCAATTTCGACATCAACACCACAAGCGTCTGGCTGCTTAGCCTCGCCTCGCCTCGCCTCCTTGACAATCTGCTCACACCCAGCAGCAAAATCGAGGACGATCCAGGAAGTATAAGAAGAAAAAGAAGGAAAATCTGCTCAAACGATCAGTCAGCCTGTGGAAGGAATCAACGCGTGGGACAATTGGCTATCGACACGAGGAAAATGAGATAGACTTAGTGGCAGCGTAGCCACACCAGAGGCGCAGTCAAGGCCAGAGACCGGGTAAGCACGGGGATGGGAATGGGGACGGGCACGGGGTCGGGTCTCCGACTCGACTCGAGGGAGGGAGGGAATGGAGCGGGGACTCGGTCCATGGTGAAGAAGGGGAAAGGTTGCCAGTGGCATTGCGACATTTTACAGCGTCTTCTTCTCGAGGCTGGCCGTGGTAAACGGCGCTTACCCGCACTGAATGCGCTCTCGAGTGCGAAGCCAATCGATTCCAGGCCCAGTCAGTCAGAATGGAGGAGATGCTTGACATACCAGCACCAGCACCATCTCCAGCCCTGGCATCGCCATATCTGGCCCTCTTCTGCCGAGACAATAGCCTGCTCCCCTCCGCCCTCGAGGCTCGGTTCGTCAGTTGGTGGCGGGTTACATGTAGCACCAGGCCGCAGATGCACTGGGACCCTCCTCTGCTCCCGCTCGCTGCCCACAGCAGGACAGGACACGACAGGACATTGGCCACCAGGACAGTATGTCCTGGACGCCTCCTTGTCAGTGCCCTTGTCCTTTCGGTTGTAGCCCACAATGCACTAGTCAGTCCCTCATGCCATCAGCCATCAACTGACCGCACAATCTGGAGCGCAAGCTCAACGATCTGATCGAGTTGAATTCACGTCAGCGTCTTGCTCGAGAGAGAGAGGAACTGGCAGACTATCAGTTTGTTTGGAGGATGCAAGGGAGGCAAGCGAAGCAAGAAGAGGGATTTGGAACTTGTCTCTACAGTGGGGACAGAAGCGGAGGAGGAGGAGCAGGGCAGGGCATCTGGAGCAAGATGGATGGCTATATGTTTTACGTATGAATCATGAGATGTTAATTTCTTCTATCCTCTGCAATTAGGGCCGAAGTGCCGATTGTTTGATCTTCCGAGTTATGGTGGTTAATGGACACAGTGCAGATGCACATTCTTATTTTTCTGAACAAGGGTTAAAGCGAACAGGCAAGTGTTTGAATCGTCTACGGAATTGCAGAGGATAAGAAAATGGAATATGAGAAATGGAAGTAAAGAGAAGAGGACAGGGTGGAAAGCAGAAGTGGGCTGGATGCATATTATATAATAGAATCTCGATTCTGGCTAAGCAGGTTGGCGGATCTGTAGATCTACAGGTGGTCGTCTGCGTGTCCCCTGTGCTGTAGATTCTGGCAGATGCTAAGCGCGGACTGGATGCCAGTACTCAGTCCTCCTCCAACGCCGAATCGGCAATGCAACCTCGACGAGCGCAGTTTATTACCAAACAGCCACACTGCTTAGAGGTCCGCAAACGTTTGGTGAACATAGTGCGGTTAGTCTCGTACTCCTCTATCCTTTTCGGCGGGACCCGTTTTAAGTCTGATCCGTTCCAGCCCAATTCGCTTCTTCCAGAAGGCGGACACTTTTCCTGCCTCATACTCACGTTCTGAAGGTTTCAATCCTTGCTAGCAACCATGAGATCTGTCTCGTGTCTCGTCTCGGTCATAATGCTCGTACTTGATCGTGCTCACCCTGCCTCCTCTGCAGTCTGCACATCTGCCAACCTTTCCATTTCAGGAGCTCTTTGAGGCCTTCTGGAGTTCTGTCCTGTCGGATTTCGATGGACTTTTATGGCCGGGGTGGAATCTGGTGTCCTTGGGAAAGATCCTCGTTACACCTGCTCTTACTGTGGCTGCTGGAGCAGTGACAAAGAGTGGGTGAATAAAAGGTGAGCATTCGCAGGGAAATCGTGTCTCTGCCTGGCTGCTGGGAAACTTGAACTTGCTTCCACTTCTCGTTCCTGCTTCACTGACAGGAAGCAACAGACCACTTCGCCCGGGAGATAGTTTTGTGTAAGCACTTTGTAAGATCTTTGGGAGCGATTTACTCGTCTCTCGAAGATCGAAAAATTCACTGTAAGTTTTGAAGAGAGATACCTGCAAAACAGATATTTCTCCGAGCTATAATGGACTTGTTTCAATCCTTCAATACCACCCGAGCTTTGTTCACGGAACTCGCGGGAATTCAGGTCGTAGATATGTATCTGTTGCTCGAGGGAAAGCAGGGACTTTTCGACCCATCGACAGTCTTAAACATGCGACCAAAAAATACTAATACCAACGAAGCCGAAGAGTACATGACGTCCAGGAAACGCTGTGGGTGTGGACTGTAACTTTGTCCTTCAAGGCTTATCATGTGGACAAGTGACGAGCATCTCTCTGCGTCCGATATAGGTACACGATGGGTTGGTTGGGGCCGATAGCAAGGCATTTCTTAAATGAGGTATCAAGACATAATCAGAATCCCCGTTTGAGCACAAACCTTCATCTGTTTAAAGAACATACTCACATCGCAACGGAGAACAATGTACCGATTGCCCTTACATATCTTAGGAGATGGTACAATAGCGAAATTTGCAAGACTTGCCACGTTGTGAGAGCCTGCTAGTGTATGTACAGGAGATGGTTCGATAGCGAAATTTGCAAGACTTGCCACGTTGTGAGAGCCTGCTAGTGTATGTACAGGAGATGGTTCGATAGCGAAATTTGCAAGACTTGCCAAGTTGTGAGAGCCTGCTAGTGTATCTAATGGGTTCGATTTCAATCTCCACTTCCGATCACTTGGTCGGGACCTGTAGAAGCCAAATCGCCAAAATCACAAAGATGTGCATACTGTACAATTGAGCTACTAGTATATGCGTTCGTGTCATGATGTGAGAATCTCATTTCTGATGCATAAATCTGAGGCGAAGTGGGAGAGACGTCTCATAAACACCTTAAACATCCTCACTCCACGAGGTGGTTATTTGTAGTATTAGCGAAGTTTATAACACACCCCGCTTTCCGGGGTGTATCATGTTCCAGCGCACCTTCAAACTTGTTCAACTCATCTTATTAACATAAACGCCATTGCTCTGCATCCAAAGCTCAGTTTTAAGCAGCGCAAGGGATTTTCTACGTCGGGCATGCAGAAGATGCAGCTCCGCCTCGAGCTGTTGCTAGAGGAGAGGGTTTAGTGGCACTGATGGGGAGCGATACCAGATGCAGAAATCGGTCTATGTTCAGCTTCCTTGCTCCCTTGCCACTCGACGTTGTTCCCCACGAAGACGAGGATCGCTCTCTCCATGGTCGAGATCACGGAGAGAGCGAAGAGCCTCCGCTCCCTCCAGCGGAAAAGAAAAAAGAGACCAGTTCATGGGCTTGACTCCTTCACCGGTAGGGGATGGAACTGACCGCCGAGTGCTGAACATTTCGTGCTTTCCTCGAAAGCAAGTGTACTTCTCTCTTAGTATCTTTCCCACTTCTCTCTTTACGGCGGTCAATTGAGTGCAAGGGCTGGAGTTGACTGGAAATCTATTCTTGGACATTTTGCAGCTGACATTCATTCGATCCATATATCCTCTCGTCGACTGTTGACGCAGATATTTTGAAAAGCAAGACTTCTCGATTTCTTCTTCAATCTTCCATCACTCGACGGAATCTCTTTCCACCGGGCTTCAATCAAGGCCAATTGTAAAATGCCCAGAGGCGTAGAAGAAAACACAAAAGGGTAGCAGAGGGGCCCAAGCAATACAGCAAAAGGATGGGAAGAAGAAACACGCAATTGTATAGTCTGATCACCTCATCACACTGGGTTTGGCATCCTCCGCCGAGATTGTCTGTACTCTCCAGGTGATTTGCCGCCAGTTTGACACCCTGCCCTGCCCTTTGAAAATGCTTGCTACTGAAACCCGGCTGAAACTCTCCAGGTAAGTCCGAGATCAGGATAATGTTCTCATTCATTCACCGCCAGCCTCATCTTACAGCCTAGAAATGATCCGAAGTTCGTTGTATTCTCTGTCCATTTAGACAGATATTTTAATAAACAAATATCTTTATCCAGCAGTTTGTTTACTTTCCGTACACATTTCCTCCAAAGTATTCTTGTCTACTAACCCGTGTCAGTCCTAAAGTGCGTCTCAATACCGAAATCGGGTTCTTTTTCCACCTTCTCGCATTAATCAATCTGTCGTCGTATTAAGAAGGAAAGCATTGAATCAAAGCCTTATGCTTTCTTCGCTTAGTCAACTGCAGTTATTTGGTTCTTGCTCAACTGCAGTCATTTGGTTCTTGCAAAACTGTCTCCACAAGAACAAGTATACAGACAATCCAATCTACAAAGTTCCAGCGCGTACGAGTCGCGGTTGAAAAATCGGCATCCAAATCCCCAAATGAACTCTCTCGTTTTCTTGCGGTTATCGAGATTGCGAGCTAGAATAGTCTTCGGCAACCGATCCGCGGCTGAAAGTGTCATCTGCGTGCTTTGCGAGATACCGATGCCAACTCCTGAAAATATTCGACCGATGCCGCAGTACCAGTACCAGTTCTCGTTCAGACTACCGTACGAGGTCGACTTCAAGGAATTGAAGACACAAATCTTGCGAGGGAAAAAACTCTGCGAGCTTAGATTTCTTCTAAAAAGGTTAGTTTGTTACATTCCTTACTCAATATTGAGATCTTGTGCACGATCACTATCTGCAGGGATAAGCAGAAGCAAGGTCACAAGAAAAGGAAAGATTATGATGCGCGTTAAACATGGAGACGAAACTGAGCCCGGATTGTAGTTTCATTGAGGATTTCGTTCGAGAAGACATCATCTTCCGACTCTCACAATAGGATGATGGTTCAACTCTATCTGGGTTTTCAAACGATCCTAATCGACGCACCTGGCACGGTTGAAAGGGCTGTCGATCTCCAAATTCATATCCACCTCTTGTTCCTTGGCGTACTGCTTTGACGTGCCGTCATCAATTTTGTGCATCAAGCGGGCTTACTTTGGGACCATGCATATTATACACTTCAAGATCGCGAGAAATCCCTGTTCACAGTTCGTAGTTTTGTGGTCACCAACATTGCCAGATGTAGTAAACAGGGCGGAGCTCCGTACACGATTCCATATCGAACCTGAGCCCATCAAAAACATCTGACTGCCATGTAGAAACGTCCAAGCAATGTGCGCTCCCACAAGGAGGTCCACGATGGAAACGCGAGGAAAGATACGACACAATCTTGGGCCTTGACGACTTTCATTGTCGTATCGTCCCATTTTGAGAGTAGGAAGTTGATGTCATTTGGAACGAAACCCTCGATGACTGCTGGTCTATATATCACATTGTCTTCACGTCTGAAGACGATGCGATATGTAGAGCACCCCGCCCAGCCACAACACTCGGGTTACATCTTGCGTAAAGAATTCCCGCAGTGTGTCCTCCCGATCGGGCCTGCCAGTTTCGTGGACCCCATACACACACTTAGGCCCTGGCACACTTCTGAGAGACCAGTCCTTGGGAAAAGGAAATCGAGAAAAAAACATATACAAACAGCAAGTAATAAATTAAAAATAAATAAATAAACATATTAGAACATAAAGTAATATATATAAAACATATAAGAACAGAAAGGAATAGGCGTATAAAAATATAAAGTAATAACTCGACTCGCGCCACTGCCCGCTCTCGCTCGTCCTCTCGTCTCGTTCCTGCCTTTCGTGTTTTTGCTCGTCGACCAGCCAGAAGCGCAACAGCATACAGCATAGCTGTTTTTCTTGGCACGGCGGGCGCAAGGGGAAGGTAGGACGCGCTGCTCCTGCTGCCTTTGAAAATCTTGGGTAGGGTAATCTGGTCCATTGCGCGAATTGACGCTCCACCCACGCTGTCTCGATCCTGTGCGGGTGCAAGGGGAGGTAAGACGCTCTCCCTCCTCAATCGACTCGCTTCAAGAAAAATCTTCTTTCTGATTTCAATTTCGTGCTGAGTTCCCAGTTCCAGCTGGTTTTCAAAGTTCTGGGTAGAGTAATCTGCTTATCTGGCGCATTGGGCGCCATTGAGTGTAGTTTCCGAGTTTCCTGCTTTCATGTGGTATCAGAGCACTTGTCTGTAGGCGAACCTTCTCCTCTCCAATCTCATTGATCCTTTGAATCTTATGGACGAGGGTCCGAGGGGCCACGGTCGCATATCCTCCTTACCTCGTACTCCTGACATCGTACCTCGTATGGGCGAGGGTCCCAGGTAATCTGCTTATCTGGCGCATTGGGCGCCATTGAGTGTAGTTTCCGAGTTTCCTGCTTTCATGTGGTATCAGAGCACTTGTCTGTAGGCGAATCTTCTCCTCTCCAATCTCATCGGTCCTTTGAATCCCCTCACTTCACAGCGTGCGCTTGCTTCTGAGCTCATGGATGCGGCTAGTACTCGGCGAGGTGAGGTCAAAGGTTACCCCGTAAGGAATGGACCTTTACGTTATCTTTTACTTTTCTCACACCACTATTATTTACTTATCTTTACCTATGGTAATTTATCCAGGTACACAATACACATTCTCTCTATTTGTATCACGACTATGATTTACCAATATATTCCGGTTAGAGGGGCAGCCCTGACTCCGAACCCGGGGTTGATACTACTTGCTTATCTGTGGCCTTCGTGTTATTTTAGATGTGTGTTTGGAGAATCATCAGGCATCGCTGCAGAACTGAGCACTTGAGTACCGCCAAGACTTCTAACCAACATTGAAGCTTAGCAACTGATAAATGAACTCTACTTTATAACACATTTTGTACAAATCCACCTAAAAAAAACTTTCGAAAATAACTATCTTCGCACCCAAAGATGTTTTGATCTTTGGGAATTCACTCCGAGTGTGAAAAAGTCAACTAAACATTACTCACATAGTAAATCTACTCTGCCGCTCAACACTAGGAGCATATTGGCTTCACGCTCTGACTTGGTTCACTTCATTTTGCTTTGACAATTTGCTTCACGCTTCAAGGAGCTGCACCATGAAATCTCTGGCGGACTTTTGCAATGGTAAAGGCTTATCTGGTTATTACCGTAATCCATTAAGCTTTACCTTTACTCTACTTGTTACATTACCTATAGTCCAACCTCTACCTTTTACCAATTTATCCGAGTATCCTAAAAGGTTACCTTACCTTGCCAAGGCCTAGATGCAGCGCTCGTCGTCGCAGTTTGAGGGCATGTGTGTCAAGCCCTCTTGCCCATCGGAAATGCAAAGATTTCCTCGCCCTTCCAGCTCTGGAGAAGAATGTGTGCAAGCAATGTCCACCTGAAGTTTTGAACGAGCCGACGTGATAGCGCACTTGTCTGATCTCCCACTCCCTAAACATTGCAGTTCAAAACCATGATCCCATTAATATTAGAATTTGAAGCCATGCATTCTAAGTAGAGAAGTATTTATGTAGATACGTTCTTCAAACATATGGTATGTTGTGAAAATAATGTGAAGTGTGGCTTGAAATGATCATTTATGTGGTATGGCTAATTTGAAAACCACAAATTCAAAGCTTGTTTACTTCTCTTTGCTTTTTTTCAAAGTGTTGCGGGTTCACTCATATAGTAGCTTCCGTGTCGTTGATTTGAGGTAATGTTGTGAGTATGATGTGGAGTGTAATTGGATATGGCCACTTATGTGGTATGACTAATATGAAAAATCACAATTTTGAGGCTTGTTTTCAATTCTTTTCAAGATTGTAGAAAAACAATATATTCATCTTTTATGACTTTAATGTTTTATGCCAAAATATGTCTTTTATTTATCACTAGGTATTTAAAAAAGTATCTCACTCAAAGATGAAACACAACTCTAAAGATAAGATATATCTATAATGATTTTACTCTTTGTTATATAAATCTCACCAACAAGTTCAAGGAGACAAGATATTATCTTATATCTATTTCAATCCTAATGCATTGATGACATGCTGGATAATCCTAACAAATACATGAAAGAATGATGTGTTGATCTCAGCTTACATAAATGTTAACACGTATAATCTTTACCTATCAATCAACAAACAAATTGCTAACATGTCATTGTTAATTAACACATATATTTTTTTATCTATTTGTAAACAACTTTAGTTAATTGAAACTAAAATAGAATATACTCAAGATAAAAATATAGTCATCTTCTAAAGCTTTATTTATAGGTACCAAGTGAGCAATCAATGTGTTTGGTAAGTACAAAATAAATAAATTGGTAGACAAATATATGTTAATTATTTGTGTGTTTGTTAAATAAAAATTGAGTTTGATAATAAGTGTATTAGTTGAGAGCAACACGCTAGCAATACTAGTGTTTGTTAGAATTACACTGCCATGTTATTAATCCACTAGAAGTGAAACGTATAATGCAGGTGTTATTTTATCTCCTTGTAGATGTTGCTAAGATCTCTATAAAGAAATGGAATACCAATCTAGAAATCTTTCATCTTGAGAGTTATGTTTCATCTTTGAGTGAGTTAGTCTTTTGAAGCCTAGTGTTACACTACTAAGCACATGAATTGCCGATGTGATAATTATAAATAGTTCATTCTAATAAGACAATAAGTACGTCTTAAATAATCTCTACTTCAATTTTAACTAACTAAAGATGTTTACAGCATCATACAATTTGAACAAAAGTTTTTTAAAATGACAACATGAACAAAATCATGTATAGACTAAACTTTAAAGCTTTAGGTTTTTTCATCTTGAAAGTAAAAAAAACCAATGATGCATCATGCAACATTACAATGAATAAGAACAAAATAAAAAATCAAGTTGGATTTCCAATTCAAATGAAACTCTTTTATGATATCTGCTTTAAGCTCCTTTCACGTTGCCGTCAATTAGTCTTTATGGCCATCTTTATTCATAATTCAATCAAACAAACGTGATTATAAAATGTCTCTATAAATATTTAGAGTATAGAAAAAACCTACATAAGACAATCAGTTGGCTTTGAGGTGAAAGGTTAAAAGAAGTTGGTGTGTACATTGCTAAAATCATCATATGGATTTAAGTAAGCTCATGGAAGAAAATACGTGTTTTGAAGAGTTCATGAAGTCACAAGGTTTTTCACGTATGATCCTTGTGTTTACATGAAGAAGGTGAATAATGACATCTTTAATCATATTTTTTAAATAATCAATGTGGATGAAATGCTCATCTTGACAAAGAACCAACCTTACATTGAAAGTTGCAAGAACTAGTTGATATCCGCATTCAAGATGCAAAATTTGAGAAATTGAAGAAAATTTTTGTATGTACATTCATAGAGATTTGGAGAAGAAGATGCTATGATTGAATGAACACAAGTATATTTAAAAGTTTCAACATGGCAAATTTTAAAGTAGTATGGATGTTTTTGAAAACACATTTCATAATTTCTGCATCTCAATGTACTATCAATGTCATTGAGAAATGAAAAATGTCATGTGTTCCCTTAATTAAACTATGAGCAACGTCATGTATTTGATGGTATGCACAAGAGCTGATATTGCAATAATATTGTGCAAGGTGAGCACGTACATGTCGAATCCAAGAAATGTTCATTAAGAAACAGTGAAGTGTATTCTCGAGTATTTGAAGAGTACTAAGATTTATGGCTTATTGCTTCATAATTTAATAGACAATGTCAAATTCTTGTGAGACTACGTTGATGGTGACCTTTGACAAAATCTAAACCAGAAAAAACATACAAGAAGATATGTGTAAACACATATCTTCTCCAATGCATACATGCATACAATGATGTATGCATTGGTTAAAAGTCTACTTTGCATAAGTGCATAGCTCTCTTCACAATAAAAAAAACTTGAATATTACAATAACAACTTTGTTTTAAGTTAAAACTTTGATGTTCTTATAGACTTAATACAAAAAATATCAATCATTTATAATTTTGTCATCAATTTTCTTGCTCTTGGATGTGTCAATTCTTGATTTTACTCTAAAACAAGGACTAATATATTGACACACTACTATAATATCATATTGTAGAGAGATGATATCTCTACAATACACATGAAAAAAGTATTGAAATTCCAACTTTACGTCTTGCAATAATGAAAATCACATCGATCTGAATTTTTATGCAACAAGACAAACTAATGAATGTTCATAAACTTAAACAACAAAAATGAATTTGTTTTTCACACTATCAAAGAAAAAAATGTAAATGTTATGAAAAAAACATATAAAGTAAAATAACTCATTTTTAATAGCTATACATGATCAAATGTATACAATAAATATTTGTGTATCAAAACAAAAGAAAAAAATGGTATCATTCAATAATTACAAAATTAAAAAGTATGTAAAAAAAATTTAACAAACAATTATTGAAAAAATAAGAAAAAAAATTTGAAATAATTTTTTTAAGAAAATCATGAATCTCAATAGTATTCATTGATTTAATTTCCACATTTTTTAAAATAATTATATTTGAAAAAAATATCAAAAATCATCAAAACACAATAATTTTGAAGATTTTATTTGAAATTTTTTTATAATTAAATTTTTCAATTAATTTTATAAAATTTAGAATATGCAATAAATATAGCAATTGATGAAATAATCAAATGAAAAAAATAAATAATAATCATTTATGTGTTTGAAATGATTGAAAATATATAAAAAAACAGTTGATTGAATGCAATAGTTCATAAAAAGTTACTTGAAATAATTCAAGATCAATATTTTATGACTTTAAAGAAGATTTATTAATTTTAATGTTAAAATTGTTAAATTTTATGTTTATTTTTGAACATTGCAAACAAAATTTCAATTTCAAAGTATTGAATAATAAAAAAACAATATTTGAGTTTTTATTTTCTTAAGCTTTAGAAATAATGTTCTTCATTTAAATTGTTATGATTGTAAATTAATTTGAACATAATATAATTCATATTTGTAAATAGATGGAAACTCATTTGATTATGAAACATAAACTTTGAAGATGAGATATACCAACAATAGTTCTACTCTAACTTATAAATCTCTTCCAACAAGTACAAGGAGATAAAATTTCATACTCATCATTAGATGGTGACATTGCGGATATAACTAATGAACACATGGATTGTTGACATTTTGCTCCCAACTAACATATCAACTAGCATATTTGACTATCATACAAGTAATCTCTACATTAGTTTT